ACCAGGAGATCAACTTCAAGGTCCATGTCCTTGCCTTCAAAGTTCTCCATGAACTTACTACACTCTAACTGTGATTTCCTGCAACACTACTCACATCCCCATTCCTCCATTCCTCGAATGCTGGTCTGCTTCATACCCCACCCCACCATTGGTAGGTGAGTTTTCAGTCACTTTGCCCCTATCCTCCAGAACTCCTTTTTCATTCTGCCTCACCACCTCCCTCTTTGCTTTCAAAACCAGTCTAATGACTGTACCTCTATATCTATAGCCACCTACTACTATCTTTCTGGCCCCCACTTTCTCTTTGTAAAGCACTTTCAGATGTACTCCGTACATTAAATTGTTGTTGTCTGCCATGGGCCCTAAAATGCCCTTTCTTAGACTCTCGTCTCAGGACTGAAAAGCCTTAACTTGTCTAATTGTTGCCCATAGCCAGGGCCAATAGAAAATTATGGAAATATTTGCCCCAAATTGAGCAATTTTGATTAAATTTTGCAGAAAATTGTGGGGAGATGATTGGTGCTGTTGAAAGATACATTTTACTGCTAACCTACATTTTTTCACTTTATTGATAAAAACTAAAAATGAAGAAATAATACAAATTAGACTGTTGCAAAAAAAATTATTAATGCTTTCTTTAACAAAAACTGGGTGACCCACTCGGGAGGGAGGACACCTGCACAAGCCCAAAGGGCCGAATGGTCCGTTTCCACTCCACACTACATTTGAATGCCTGGAGATCCTCTGATCACCGGCATTACTCGCCAAGCTCACCAGTGCCCTGACTGCAGGGCTACAGGAGGTCACCACCATCTCGGGGTTACCACCACAAAGAGATACAGAGAGTGACACACACTCGTGTGTTCACACACACACTGACAGACACAGAGACACACACATTCACAAAAATAGAGAGAGACACACATTCACGGACAGCCACATACACACACTTACAAACATATAGAAAAACGCACTCACAGACACAGAGACACACACTCACAGACACACACTCACAGAAACAGAGACACACTCACAGACACAGAGAAACACACTGACAGACACAGAGAGAGACACAGACAAAAAGAGACGTGTAGCGGAGGGGGTTGTTTCTAGTGGATGGTTGTGGATAAAAGCTTGGATTTATCTATAATCAAACTTCATTTGTCAGTTATCAGCCAATGTGCATTCTCTAGCACACTGCTTTTGTAAGACATTTGCTGTATCCTCTGATTCTGTAGTTTCCTCTGCACTAGGTGTCATTGGCAAAACTGTGATGGTCTGTGAATCCACGTGATTAACATATCCGAGGAATGGGAAGGGTCCTTGTACAGATTCCAAAGGTACCTGCCTACTACCTACCCCTATTTTGACCTAGCTCCCCTAACAACAACCTTCTGCTTCCTTTACTTCAGACAATTCTCTATGTGGAACTTTTGTCAAATGCCTTTTGAAAGTCTAGCTACAGAACATCCCACATTTAATTTGAATGTCACTTCCTCAAAAAAGTCTACCTGTTCAGAGGCTGATCAGACAAAGATCTCTTCTGAACCTGTGTTCGATGTGTACAACAGAACTGACTTTACTTTCAAAGCCTCATAGACGTCACAACTGGAATAGCTGGGAAGCTCTTTAGGAATCTGTGACTGCATATCTCAGACACAACTAGATTTATTCTGAATGTGCCCCCTTCAGACATTGAAAAAATGTCGCCCCAAAGGCAGTGTACCATAGAGGCCTTTTCACTGAATGGTACTGGAGTTAACCATTTCATTCACTGGTTTCTCTTATTATCCAGCAAAGCCCTACACAGAACACACAGATGTCATTGTATAATGAATTCCGAATAGTGTGGTGACTGTTTCGGGGTCTGGTTTTCTTTTTTGGTCAGCCAGTGACATTCATGTGTTACTTTCCTTTTTCAGTCAGCTTCATTTTTAGTGAGACAGTCGTTAAATATTTTCTGCAAGTTACATATTTCGTTTTGGTGCCAGTACAGTAAAGAAAATTGCATTAAATGCATCTGCCACTGTAAAAACTGACACAATGTGGCTGCAGCAACCACAGAATATCTTGGCAGTTTTGACTTGTAGAAACAGAGGCCATTTGGCCCATTGTGTCTGTGCCACTGGTGATGCTCTTTACTATTTATCCTACTTTTCAGCTTTTTTCCAATTAATAATAATAATAACCCTTGCATTTGATGTAGTGCCTTGTAATAATAATACAATAATAATCCTTGTATTTGATGTAGCATCTTTCACGTTTTTCAGATGTCCCAAAGTGCTTTACGGTATTCTGTAAAGTGCAGTGACTGTCTATTTTCCAATTAATAATAATAATAAACCCTTGCATTTGATGTAGTGTCTTGTGTACACTACATTTGATGTAGTGTATTGTGGGCGAAACACAGAACCAGTTGCGCACAGAAATGTCCCACAAACAGCCGTGGAGTGAGTGAACAATTTTATTTGGAGATTATTAGCCAGGATACCGGAGAAACTCCTCTCTTTTTGAGTTGTACAATAGGATCTTGAACGTCCACCTCAACAAGCAGACGGGACCTCAGTTTAACGTCTCATGTAAAGGACGGAGCCTCCAATAATGTAACATCCCCCCCTAATACTGTATTGAAGTGTCAGGTTAGACCACGTGAGTTCAAGTCCCCACATAGGATTTGAACCCACAACCTTCTGACTCGGAGGCGAGAATGCTATCACTGAGCCAGGCTGACACACTCAATTAAGAAACAAAAGAAGAAAAAGAGGAGTGTTGAGAGCCTATTAAATAAACTAATAGGTATCATGAAGAAAAATGTTTTTTAAAATTGTCTTGAACTCACAACCAATTGAGTCAGGGTGACACTGACAATGATAAATAATGTAGTTTACAATTTATATAGAGCCTTTCACATCGAGAACATCTCAAAGCGCTTCACAGTGCTGGACCCGAGCTAGGGATCGGGAGGAGAAAGATGAGAAAGTGTGATCAAAAGAGATACATTTTGAGATGGGTTTTAAAAGAGCAAAGGGAGTTGGAGGGACTCCAAGATGGAATTTTAGTGAGTGGTGGCAGAATGGTGTGAGGAGTGCTATAAAAATGCAAGTTCTTGTTGTTGCTGATGAGGCGGATAAGGCAGGGGACATAAGCAGGCCGGTGTTTGCTGAGAGAAGGGAGTGGCTTAGTCATTCGGGTTGAAAGGATGAGAGGATATTTAAAGAGAATATAGGCTTGCTCAAGGATACAAATACTAATACTTCGTATTACAAATATTAAGTATTATGGGGAGCAATAAATAGTTTCTCTCCATCTGTATTTATGGTACTGGGAGATTGGCAGTTACTGGGCAAGGTAGAGATAGATGTAAAGGAATAGTTGTCAGGCATTAGACAAAAGGTTGATGGGATGTAAAGTGGACAACTCATTAAGACCGGATGGATTTCATGTGATAATGTTGAGGAAGCTTAAAACATCCCCTGGTCCTGTGGAGTTGAGCTAACCAGAAGTGCCATACAACTAATGTCCAGGACTAACTGGCCTACTCTCTGTGAATGGTGCAACAGTCACCTTGCAAAGGAAACAGTGCTTGACAGTAATATTGTTTCCCTATCTGAGTTTCTCTTGGCGTGTGTCAGAGCAGGTTTGTGTGTTTCTGTGTGTGAGAGAGCATGTTTGTGTATGTGTGTATCAGTATGTGAGAGAGCAGGTTTGTGTGTGTGTGTGTGAGAACAGGTGTGTGTGTGAGAGAGCAGGTGTGTGTGTGTATCTGTGTGTGAGAGCAGGTTTGTGTGTGTGTGTGTGAGAGCAGGTTTGTGTGTGTGTGTGTGTGTGAGAGCAGGTTTGTGTGTGTGTATCTGTGTGTGAGAGCAGGTGTGTGTGTGAGAGAGCAGGTGTGTGTGTGTGAGAGCAGGTTTGTGTGTGTGTGTGTGAGAACAGGTGTGTGTGTGAGAGAGCAGGTGTGTGTGTGTATCTGTGTGTGAGAGCAGGTGTGTGTGTGTATCTGTGTGTGAGAGCAGGTTTGTGTGTGTGTGTGTGAGAGCAGGTTTGTGTGTGTGTGTGTGTGTGTGAGAGCAGGTTTGTGTGTGTGTATCTGTGTGTGAGAGCAGGTTTGTGTGTGTGTGTGTGTGTGTGAGAGAGCAGGTTTGTGTGTGTGTGTATCTGTGTGTGAGAGCAGGTGTGTGTGTGAGAGAGCAGGTGTGTGTGTGTGAGAGAGCAGTCTGTGTGTGTGAGAGAGAGCAGTTGTGTGTGTGTGAGAGAGAGCAGGTGTGGCTGTGTGAGAGAGGTGTGTGTGTGTGTGTGTGAGGAGAGCAGGTGTGTGTGTGTGAGAGAGAGCAGGTGTGTGTGTGTGAGAGAGAGCAGGTGTGGCTGTGTGAGAGAGGTGTGTGTGTGTGTGAGGAGAGCAGGTGTGTGTGTGTGAGGAGAGCAGGTGTGTGTGTGTGAGAGAGAGCAGGTGTGTGTGTGTGAGAGAGAGCAGGTGTGGCTGTGTGAGAGAGGTGTGTGTGTGTGTGTGTGTGTGAGGAGAGCAGGTGTGTGTGTGTGAGGAGAGCAGGTGTGTGTGTGTGAGAGAGAGCAGGTGTGTGTGTGTGAGAGAGAGCAGGTGTGGCTGTGAGAGAGGTGTGTGTGTGTGTGAGGAGAGCAGGTGTGTGTGTGTGAGGAGAGCAGGTGTGTGTGTGTGAGGAGAGCAGGTGTGTGTGTGTGAGGAGAGCAGGTGTGTGTGTGAGAAAGCAGGTGTGTGTGTGAGGAGAGGTGTGTGTGTGGGTGTGTGTGAGGAGAGCAGGTGTGTGTGTGTGAGGAGAGCAGGTGTGTGTGTGAGAAAGCAGGTGTGTGTGTGAGGAGAGGTGTGTGTGTGAGGAGAGCAGTATGTATTTGTGAAAGAGGTGTATTTGCGCATTGAAGTGGATGTGTGCCAGAACACACGTGTGTATGTTGAAGTGTGGAAGTTGGAGCACTGATGAGTCTGATTATGTGCTTCAGAATGTGATCACCACCTCTGTGTCTTGCAGCTCTGGAAAGGAAGATATCAACCAGGCAAAGCAGAGAGGAGCTAATCAAAAGAGGAGTGCTGAAAGAGAACTTTGAAAAAGGCAAGTACTCTACTAACAGGAATTTGTTACCTCAAACTTTGGATCCATTCAATGTCCTCAGTTATTTTGTGGGTTTTTTAGAGATGCTTTTGATGATATTATTTAATAACTTCAAACAAGAGTGAAAACAATGACTTCAATATTCACGTTGGCTTTCTGTTGTGTGTAAATGTTCTAAATAAAGGTGAATTGTACATTACTGTGAATAGCCAGAATACTATATTTTTATTTCTGTCAATTGAAAGAACATTTATCGTCCATTCTTGATTTTTATTTTATCTACTGTTTGATCCTCCTTGTCCATTATCTTCCAGTCTGCTCCTGAGCAGCCTGTGTTATGAGCCGCTCTGAGACACTACCCAGCATGGAGGGCGCTATATAAGTGCAAGTTGTTGTGTCATGTTTTTAAGCGCTTTGGGATCTCCTCCCAACATTATATAAGGCACTATATAAAGCTAAATTTCTATTGTTCTATGTGGCGTGTAGAATATGACCTGTGTTACATAGCTTATGTTATAAGGTCTCTGATCTTCCTTGTTCAGTGAAGAAGGATTTCCAAAATGTTCCCAAACAGCCTATGCAAACATTACTCCTGTTTTCTATATGAAGTAGAATCATATTTTTACGGCCAAATCTCATGGTAGAATTTACTTTGTACTGTCAGCAGGAGAGGAAGGTGAAGGATTATTCCCACTGTTGGAAAATTGGTAACCAAGGAGCATAAATTTAGGATTCTCACCATAAGAAACAACATCTTGAATTTATATAATTATATAATTCAGTTCAAGCAGCATCTCAGAGCTCTTAAGAACTTAAGAAAAGGCTGTTCAGTGCAATACTGGGGAATAGCTGGATTGCAGTTACTTTAATGAGGAATTCCGTTAGAATTCCCACCTGGTTACAGGAACGGCACTTTGGATGTAGATTTCATCAGAGCAGTCCTTCTGCAAAGCCGTTAATGGAAGGAGTCTATCTACGTGAGTCTTGATCCCGTGTTACAAGTGAGGTTCAGATGAAGAAAGATATTAAGTCCATTTAAGCTCATCCTTCCCAGAATACTACCAATGTCGACTGGGACCACGTCAGCTTTAAATATTAAAACAGGAAGTGGAGATGGTGTGGGTGGAGAGTAATATTATTCTGAAGGTGGGATCCACTCCAACTGTTGTCAGCCGGTTAAACTATTGCATCATGCGGAGGAAAAGAAATCTGCTTTGGAATTACTCATCAGTCAAAAAATAAATCGCATTTCACACAATACACTTCAAAACTGAATAGAAAATGTGAGTTTTAAATATAAGCGGAGGGTTATACACGCGCGGGTGGCGTGTGTGCGCGAGTGTTGGCTGGCTGTACACGCGGATCAAAGACGCGTTGGGGTGCTGAACACATTACAGGAATGATTCTTGTAATATTTTACAATTTGCTGATGATAAATTGAAGCTATTCTAATCCTTCACAATTGAATATAGGTGAGCAGATTTGCACACCTATTCTCAAAAGAATATCTTTTTTAGGGTGTCAGCCGAGTGTCTGATGGATTAAGGAACCCATGACCGTGCTTAAGAGTATCCAAACCAAACTGAGAATTCCATGCATCCCATCTACACATGGAAATCCCAGTAATTTGCCAAATGCTACACATTTTTAAATACTACTTGAATAGAGTAAATCTCGGCCCAAGAGGAAGTTTAAAATTCAGTTTGTTGAGAAAGGAGAAATGATAATGCAGATTTTGTTTAGCTTAAACTGTAATTTAGCAACTAGAGGGCAAGAGTGTGGAATTAATGAGACTCCAGTGAGACCAGCATTGAGAAAGGTTTATTTTCCTCACATTTAGATAAGCAGGATAGATTGCCAACCAAATGTAGTTTTTTCTTTCTCTATTAAGAGCTGGATAAATATTTGGATAGAAATAGGACTGAAGGTTATATGGGCATATGTAGCCCTTTCTGATCGAATGGATCGTAGGGTGCTCAGTTTCCTGTGCTAAAAATTTATACATGGAACTGCAAATTAATTTTTGACTAATATGATACAACTTTGGTTACGTTAGTCAAAGAGAGGGGGCACAGGCTTTAAGTTTCTTGGAACTTTCACTGCTGTTAACTTCCTCAGAAGATTAAACCATTTTGTTTTGATGAGGGTCTCCTTGGAGCTGAACTGACTCCAAGGCAACATGCAGTGAAATGTTGCAATCGAATCAAACCTCTCTGGCCGTCTCCTGATAGTCCAGTTTCTGAGCCAGGCTTGTCCGCGCAGGACACTCAGGTTTTTTTTACAGCAATGCTCATGGTATTATTGTGTGAACTTATCATCGGGCGTGGCCTTTTTTGTGAGTGATGCAATTTTTAAAGTGGTTTCATGTTGAGTGGCTAGAATTATGTTATTGATAAACACATTCATCCTCCCATAACATTGTACTATAAATTGGGTTTAGTGAGCTGCTGTAAATGTAGTGCTACTACACAACCCTCCAGTCCACAGTCCACCTGCCCACCCGCTAGATCAGCTTCCAGGCACAGAGCAGCTAATTTCACTGTGATGCTCTTCCTGTTTTTATTGGCTAGAGTATTTTAAGAGAAGGGTGACCTGGCCAACAGTTCTCTAGATCCAAGGGTCTCGAAGCATGGGACCTGTCTCCCTGGGGAGGTGCGGACATGCTCCAGGAGAGGTGCCAGTTGCTTACATCCCGTTTTTTAAAAGAATCCTTACCTGTGAGCATAGGAATTAACTGGGCTGTCTGTACTCATGTGCCAACCTCGCAATAACAAGTTCTTGCATTAACCTTGAAAGACTGGCTCATGTGCGCCCAAAGTACAGCCGTTTTAAAAAAACGGGTTGGGAGATATTCAGTTGCAGGTCCTTTTTTAAAAAAAAGTTTGGTGATTTTGCAAACAAATGTTGTTAGAAAATTTTGCAAAAATTTAAAAGTAACAGAAAAACATACATCACAAGGCGAAGTGATGCCTGCAGCAGAGTTTCCAGCAAAACACAGCAGCTAAAAAATATTTTCTGAGGGGAGGCAAATCTCACCGACCCGATTCCCCCAAGGTCAATGCTGAGATGGGGTGGAGGGGCGTCAATGCTGAGATGGGGTGGGGGAGGTCAATGCTGAGGTGGGGTGGGGGGGGTCAGTGTTGAGGTGCGGTGGGGGGCTCAATGCTGGTGGGGTAGTTGGATCGATGGTGGGGTGGGGGGGTCAATGCTGAAACCACTGATGGGTTGCGTTTGAGGGGTCTCATCTGAACTGATTCCAGAAGTGGTTCTCGAGAATGATTTGACCCGATCGTTGTAAAACGGCTGCAGATTGGACAGGAACCAGTCTTAGGTAGCACACAATTAAACTTGCGTCAAGAAATTTGGACTTTGGACAGGCTAGAAATATTGAAGTGACAAGTCGCATGAGTGATGAAGACGCACTTCCCAATACCTTACATTGGCAAATGCAAGGGATTTAGTCACTAACCGTCAATCAGTCCTGCGGTCCAGGTTCAAACCCAATCTTGGTATTAATTAGACTGTGGTTCATGCTTATCCGCTCAACCATCCCGAAGATGACTTTGAAATTCCTGTGTTAGATCATCCCATATCTGTCATGTTGATTCCATCTTGTCCACTATATCATTAACTCTTGCCAGGATCATTAATCTTGGTCTTACCTCAAATGGAATGCTTCAAAACCAAACAGAATTGTTCTTCCTATTGCCACTGTATCAGTCAGAGCTGAAAAAAAGCAACGGTGAGGCAGCTTTGCAGCACCATCACAGCTTTTAATAATAATGAATATAATAAATAATCTGTGCGGTTAATATTGTGCCTTATCACATCATTGAGAACAAGCAGACAGCACCTCGGTTTAAAGTCTCATCTGAAGGACAGCACCTCCAACAATGCATCTAGTGTGGTCCAACAGGTGGCCCACGGGCAGCCAGCAGCCCAGAGGGTGATTTTATGCAGCACACGACCATTTCCACCATTTCAACTTCCACTGCCTCCCTCCCCGGTGAACGTCCTCCCAGAGCAGTGGCAGGAGCCGACGGTTGGGAGGACGCAGCACACAGAGCCTTTACTGCAGTCTGTCAGGAAGGCAAGTGCATCTCTTACCATCCACGTCCTGAGCAACTAACCACCAGGTCCTGCCACTGCAGATAGTGACCCGCGCTTGGCAGAAAGATGGGGGAGAGAGCTGGGGGGGGTAAGAGACGGGTGGGAGAGACAAGGGGGAGATGGGAGAGAGAGTGGGGGGAGAGAGCTCTGGTTTAGTGAACTGCACTGATCATTTTTTTTATATGAAAATATTCAATCTGATAAAATCCTGCTACTCAAAACAAATAGAAGACTGATGATGGCAAAAACAGCAGCATTTAAAACAGATACAGGAAAGTAGCCATTTCAAGGTCAAGTACAGCAGTTATCTCCTGTTTATCATCTCACTTTGACTAATTAATGGCATTCTTCATTGATAGTAACCTGCCTTCTTCATCCGCAGTGACTCCCAAGTTCACATACAATTTCGCACCAACAAAACTGAAATAATTTCCAGTCACTAATAATCCTGGTTGTTGAAGTGACGATCTTCAACATTAAGGTTCTGTTTAAGAATTTGCCAAATACTGGATGATCTGAAAAGCTACATAAATAGAGGAAACCAACACCTGGGTGGAATTTCCTTCTCCTGTTGCTCATCACACTCTGATATGTGTTTTATAGCCGCCTCTTCACTGATCTGATGTGGCTTGTGGTTTCAGATGGAAACCTGCCAGTGCATAATGAAGAGGTGGCAGTAGAGAACGGTCAGCTCCATCCGTCAGACCAGCCATCCCGTCCCGAGGAAGCAGAGCCCAACACGGAGTCCAGGGACCCTGCAGCTGTTGATGTGCTTCCATGTACAGAATCTTCGGACAGGCCAGGTGGGGCTTTTCTTGTAAAGGAATCTCTCGCTGCCTGTTACAGCGAGATATGTTGTCTTGTCAATATTACCTAACTCATAGTGCAGACATTTGTATAGAGTTAAGGGGAAGGCATTTTCATACAGAGTATTATTGGAATATGGAACACTTTAGTACAACAACAACAAAATTACATTTATAGAACAAGCTAAGAACACAAGATTTTATAAGTGAAACAGGGAAACGTTAAAGAGAAAGAATATACACAGAAACAGCTGGGATTTGGGATCTGAGTAATTGGTATTAATGGAGGAGCTAGCACCAGCATAGGCTCAATGGGGAAATAATGAACTCCTTTGTACTGCAATTTCTAATGTTTCTACATTACTGGGTTCAGATCTGTTGATCCAAGCAAAATAAAATCTTCACAAGTAGACTGCATTTGATTTTCTTTTGGATATATACAGCACTCGCTCCCCTGAATAGAGCATGTTTGGTACTATATATAATAATACTGCTTTACAAGGTGCACAGCAAGCATTCTGCCCATTTCTATCACACTGGTTTGATTTGAATGACTTTTATTTGTACCCAGCTCTACACTAGCTGGAGCAAAATGGGAACTGTTCACATCATTGATTTATTTTGTTTCAAAGTAGTGTTTATCCACATTAAATGGTCCAGGGCTTCCCTTTAATTTTGTCTTGTGGAGTTCTGTAGCTCAGTGGTTAGAGCACTCACCTTGCAAGCGAGAGACCTGGGTTCGATTCCTGGTAGGGTGAAACTTTGGGCAAGTTTCCTTGCTCCACATGCGTGATAATAATCCCTCGAGAAAAGAAACACGATAATAATTTGGTCACTCAATTCACAACTGTTAGTGGGACACTGCTGTGCGCAATTGGCTGCCACGTTTCACCCACAAATACACTTTACAGTATATTCTGTGAAGCGCTTTGAGACGTCTAGAAGACGTGAAAAGTGCTATATCAAATGTAAGGATTATTATTATCTCAAACAGTTTGAGGGCAAGTCAGAGTCATTCTGGACATTTTAATCCGAGAATTCACACAACATAATAGGACCTCAAATCACATCTCGTTTTAAGGATTTAAGACCATTTTGTCTAAAAATTTAAGTTTTTGTGCAAAATTGTGAAAAATTCTTAAATTTTATCTTAATTTGTATGCTGGTTTTCAATAGTTTTGAAAACTTGCAAATTAACACTGAAAATTTTCAACAATTCTGTGCAGTTTTTATTTTAGGCCAAATTAATCTCACTTGGTGGAATTTCTGGACTATAATGAGCTAACTTTTAGCCCGTTACAAAAATACAGCCCCCCCCCCCACCATACACACACACAAAACCTGAAAGCAGGAAGCTTAGAGGTAAGTACGTTCACAATAGAAATTTCTTACACAAGAAATGTGTGCACTATAATAGTGTCCAAAGCACAGAATCCATAGGAAGAAGTTACAGACAGTGATTCCTGATGCTAACCTGAAGTGTGTCATGTCTCTCTGCGGGAACTCCACACTGAAAGATGGCACTAAACTGGTATTCCCACCAGTTGATATAACAGTTGTGATCCGGAGGCACTTTTGGGGATTTTTTAATTTTTTAGACTTTTATGTAACAGGATGAATCAGCCTGTTTTTTTAGCGGATTTAGTAGAATAATCTTCTCTCCATCAGTTTTTCTTCTCGGGGGCAAACCTCTGGCATGTGGACCATATTTAAATAGAAGGAGGATAGAGTTCACATGTCTTTGGGAGAAAATAAAATTAGAAGAGACAAGTTGGTGAAAAAATGAGCGTCTGGTATTAGGATGGAGCAGAGTTGGACACGGAGGCATAAAGCAGATAGCCAGGCATATTTACTGCACAATATCTGGCATTTGCTGCTTTTTGATGTTTAGTTATATTAGAACGGTAATATAACCTGCAAAAGTTTTGGAAGAGAACCAGGACACGTATCCTAAACATGAGTTGTTTATTTTGGGAATCACAATCTGGAAGCAAATCACAAACAAGCGTGAATGTGACGTTGTTGATTGTTGATGTGTTTGAAGATTAAATCTGTCGGGATAGGCACTTTATGTGTGTCTGAGTCACTGCTAAACTGAAAGATTATTTTAGGTTTCTCCGCAAATATTGCAACAATTTTGAAAAAAAATCCTCCTGAAAATAATGAATCTAATAAGGAAAAGAAGAGAAACAGAAATGGAAACAGTGCCCTAAATCTCAACCTTCCAATACAAAACCCTTTTAGGGCACTTTTTGCAAACTCGAGCTTCATCTGAGCCAAAGTACTTCTAACAGACCCAGGCCAGCTATCCTTCACTTCCCTTTCTGCCAGTCCTGCTATTCTATGTCTTTCTAGGATTCAATTCATAGTCTGCCCTTAGGTGTGTTACAAAAGGTAGAACTCAACACTGTTTCCTCTCCTCCACTGTTGTCCAGTGAGAAAAAAGCAAAAGAATACTGAAAAAGGTAGAGTAATCCCAGCATCCCATAAAGCAAGTAAAAGTAGTGTGTTAATCTGAAGGTTTATATATATGATATATATATTATATATATAAACCACATATATAGAATATAACCATATATATATTTTATATGTGTGATATATATATATGGTTTATATATATTTTTCACTTTTTCTACCCAGCATTGCAGAGCAAGTATTGTATTTGACAAATGGTTACAGTGTCCTAAAATTGCTCAGTGGCTAAACAGTGTCCTGCTAGTTTTTAAAGTGTTACGAACTGTGGAAAAGCGGATTCCAAATTATAACAGATTTTAAATGTTTTCCCAAATTCTGCATGAGCTTAAAGTTCAAGACAAAGTGTTTCATTTGTCAAACAGTTAATGGAATAGTTCAAAGTGTTGGTGTCCATTCTCTGACCTGGTTTTAAAATTAGAAATATGGTGATTTCTCCTCAGAAGTGGTCCAATTTGCTCATTGCTACCTGTTTTTTTTAAATCGCCTTTTGAAAATTAAATCCACATTACAGCTCTCTCTCTCTGAATCTCTTGATGTTCTTTATTGCTAGGGAACAAACGTATGCAGTTCACTTTTAAATAATTATACTGGTCCAGCCTCAATAGCTGCATATGTTAAGAAATTACAAATGCAAAGAACCCTCTGATTGAAGAAAATCCTTCCTAATTTTTCTGCTAACCTTGTCACTGATTTGCAAACTAAAGGAAGTTGTTTTTCCCATTCTGCCCTGAAAGCCCTTTCAGCATCTTAAACATATGTTGATTTCCATTGATGATCCTTTGAAAAATGACCTTGTCACACTTAATGAGTGAGTGGGCGGGCAGGCGAGTTAGTGTTCAGGATTCATTTTCTACTGCAGAGACTTTTTTGTGTAGATCAAATCTCTAAACAAGATGTGATTCTTTAAATTGTAATACACATTTGACATACCATATGCAATACTATTACCTTACAATAGAAACACTTAATTGTATGACTGTTGCTCATTCCAGCCCCCAGTTCAAGATATGCAAGTATAATGTACAATGTAAAGCTGTAAATAAAAAAATTCTGCCTGCCACACTTATTGCCTTGAACATTCAGTTCTCGGAGATGGTTAGTGTTTAATAAATTCATGCATTCATTATTAATCCATCATTGTTTTAACAAAGAGACCAAGATGTATTCCCTATGTTACTAATATTCATCAGAAACGGTTTTCATATTATTGTAATTATACTTTCAGCAGGAACTGAATGTATAAACTGATGTAAAACAAACTGGCTTGTGGTATTGAACACAGGGTGAGCCAAATGGTTTGGGATATGGATTGCAATATTTTCATCTTGTTCTGAATTACAATTGCCAAACTGGAGAAAACAATACTTTCCGTTTAGAATCTGCCAGTGTTCTCAAATCTGAACTGAACTTCACTCCACTCTCAGATCCTATTCCACAATAATACTCCTTTTGCCCAGACATTAGACCGTCTGAGTGAAGAAGTTCCTCCTAAACTCTGTTAGATCTACTACAACAGAATAGATAGGATATATTTCCCTGTACAGTGTACATATTAGTCAAAGTTATTATTATCCCTCTAAAGTCTATGATATTCATGTATATCAGCCAGGAAAATATATCTCAATTTTCACTACTCACATAGTATCCAAATGGGAAATGAATATTTATTGTTGTCCTCTGGGACATACACTCTGGCAACCCCCTCACTCAAAATAAAAGTAAACTACATAATTGACTAAACCAAGCATGGTTAGCAAATTCTATACATCTTACTAAAACGGAGGCTACTTGGCTCACTCTTAGCTCACCCAGGACTTCAACCTGCAACCTTCTGACTCAGAGACAAGAATCTGACACCTTTATGGTAGAAAATTCATTTGCTAGTAAGTTGTTGATATCATAAAACAGCAATGTTTTGGAGATTTGATGCTTCATTTCAGGTGCCACAATAGAAAGTTGTTGGGAGTCTTCCTAGACATCAAAGATAAATTTCACTATTTACTCCTTAAATTGCTGCTACATCAGGCTATTTACAGACCTACCTATTGTGATATTTGAAAGATCTGCTTTGTCTATTTGTAATATCTCTAATCTTGCCTGTCTCCTTTAGCTGCTGAAAATAGTCACACAGATAATGAGAAGGAGCCTTCAGCAAAACCTCCTGTGCCACTGCCACCCAAAAAGTGTGTTGGTTTCCCAGCTGATCTTGAGGAAACCCTCGCAAAGCACCTCAAACAACCCCCAGCCCTACCTCCCAAGCCACTCACCAGGATTGCCAACCACATAGCTGGTAAGTTGTCTAGAGCTGTCTTTTCAGGTTTTCCTTCTGTATACAATTGGGATTATATCTTTTGATCGGGTTATAGCATGGCTAATATATCATGTTTTAGATGATAGCATGATTGGGACTATATTATAGCTAATTATATCATGAATGTGATGGTGTAATATATGGCATTATATCAATGCAAAGATTATATCATGGGTTTGCCATTATATTTCGGATGGCATTCTATAACAATAACAACTATGTTATTGTTATGTTGGATCAGATATTAAACCAAGATCCCGTCTGCCTGTACTCTGGTGGGTATCAAATATCCATAATACAGTGGAATCCGCTTTTGTCGGACAGGTAAATCGAACAAAATGCCCGGGTGATTCATTTGTATTCTTATCTGTTTTAAAAATGCCAGTTAATTGGACAAAAATCTGGTTAATTCAGGCAAAATGCCGTGCTGGTCACCACTGAATGTACTCACTCGGGCCTTCTCTGTGTCCATTGAACCGAGAGAGACTCCTGGATGTAGATGGGAGGAGTCAAATTGTGATTGACAGTGGACTCCAGCCATTCACAAGCAGCTGGAGTTGTGCTGTCATTCAGTGGAGGAACAGGGAAGAACAAGGGAGGGAATGGGAATCACATAGTGATTGATTGACAGCTGAGCCACCTGTCAATGGCCGAGTCCAAACATTCACAAGTGGCTTCAGTCTGTCAATCACCTCGAAGCCGCCACTAATTGGTCTCCTTCCCATCCAATGGGAACGGCAATGGGAGGGAGGAGGCGCCGCCACTCCTCTGGGGGCGGGAAAGTACTGTTTTGCTGCCAAATAAAGATAAATATATTTTACTGAAATCTGTGAGTATTTTAACTTTAACTGGTTAGTTAACGTTGCTTCAAGTGAAACAACATTATTACATCAGCGCCTTGGGACGTCCTCCTGACGTGAAAGGCGCTCTATAAATGGAATCTTGTTGTTGTTGCTGTTGTACATATTATACAGCGTCGGCAAGGCTCCTCTGTGGGCGGGAATGGTATTTTGGTTAATCTCAGACACCTTTTAAATTGGACAATATGTCAGTACGCACTTGACTGATGCATGCTACACTGAGTCTTTCTGTGGTAGAAAGTGAATCTTTTGTAAACTCCAGCTATTTGTATGTTCATGTAGCATGTAAATTCAATAACTTTTGTTTTACAGAAGTTGATATTCATAGTGTTGAAAGCTGTTAAATAAAAATATTAGAGAATATGAACTATGTGACTGCAGTAGCAGACAAAGTTCAGTGCTTTACATTGTGCATGCTAAACTATGTGGAAGAGGTAGCCTGGATCCTCTGTTGTGGAGGTTATTGTACATTTCACTGTGGATGTTTATTATTCCTTTAAGAAGCATTGAGAGAAGAATGATAGCACAGCAGTCCAACTGTGGGCCTTTGTCTAATCATTTGAGTCTTGATATTGTGGTGTAAAGAAAAGCCATAGTCCTTATCAGAAGAATTAATTTCTATGATAGCTTTGAAAGTGCTAATATAATGTTATCAAAATACTTCATTACACGTACAGATGTCATATTGTCAATTATTGTATTCATTGTTATCTATTTTTATTAACAGCCCAACATTTCTTCATTGAAGCCAATTTACGGTTACATAAGAACTAACAAACATGCAAATTGTACCTAATAAAAATAGTAATGAGCATAGTTTACCATCAGAAACTAACCAAGGGCTTTTCAGCTGTAAAACATAAAAAGTAGAAAATGTTAGCTTTTATTCAATGCGTACTGCATGTGACCACAGTTTGGCTGGACCTATTTAATAGGTTCATGCTTTTTAAACACGCCAGTGGGTCAAATTTGTGATTTTTATGTATCGAATGGACGTAGGCGGTGCCCTTCCCCAAGCTGTTCCTGCTGGGATTTTAGTGAGACATTAGCGCTTTAATAAACACAAACACTGCTGATATCCCGCAGTTAGACATCCAGTGCCAGAGGCCTGGTTTCTCCAACTCTTATCATTCAGAAAAGCCTTAAGCTGGTGGTGAGGACCTGCCTCCAGCCCATTTTGATGTAATAAATTTCACTTGAAGCGCAAATAGTATGTAAGAAATGCCAAGTGTTTGTCACACAAAGTGATGCCAAAGCCTTATCCACATTTTTGCTACCTCCTGCCTCTACCTCTCTAATGCATAGCTCGCAGGTCTCGCCAGTTCCACTATGCAGCTAATCTAAACTCCTCATTGGCACCAAACACCACATATTCATTCTGCCTGTCCTCACCAAGATCCACTGGTCTCTGGCTCCCAACAGATCGATTTCAAGGTCCACATCCTTAATCTCTCCCTCCTAGCCTCTCCATATCTCTCAGAATGTCTCATACCCCAATCTTGGCTTGCCCCCTCTGCTAAATTTACACCCAGAGGGGGTAAACAGAGATTGGGGTATGAGAAATGCATACCCCACTGCACCACCATCAGTGGCTGAGCCTTCAGTTACTATGCCCCTAATACCTGAAACTCCCTAACTCTATCCCTTGGCCTTGCACCCCCCCACTCTCTATCTTTAAATCCCACCTTAAAACCTAGTTCTTCAACCATCCCCATGGTCACCTCCCCTTCTCCTTACCTCAGCATCCAACCCTGTGGAGCATTCCAACAGGTTAGCCTGCATGGAAGATGCTATTATAAATACAGATAATAGTTGCGTATTTGCGAGGATATCAGGGAAATTTGGTGCCCCGCTGTTTAGTTACTGTGAACTCCAACTGTGGCTCAGATGCATTGTCAGTACCAAGAAAAAAGAATGGAATTGTAAAGTAGTCTTTAAGATAATGGTGTGTAACTAACGTCAATGAATCCTTGACAATAGAGATGTGGCAAATTGCTATTTTGCAGCTTGGCATTTCAACCGTCCTAAAACACAAAAATATCTTTGTAACCGCCTTTTTCCAGTCATGTTGCTAATGGTAGACATTTAGATATGTCTTGCACTTTACTGCCACTCAAGTCACTCAACAAGGAGCTAGGGCAGTTGTATATATGGGAAGTCACCAGTAATACACAACATCCATAAAAACAATTCAAATTATGTGTAATAAATTAGGGAGGCTGGATTCTGGAGAGTGAAATTATTCAGAGGCTGTACTCAAACTGAGGAGTTCAGATAACATCCTAAATTGGAAGAGCGAAGCTCGAATAATAATGGATACCATCAGAACCTTGTGACTCGTACCCGTTAGTTCAGTTAATTTATATAATTTTGCCTCTAGGGCCTGTACACAGAAGTCCAGTTGCAGACTAGAGTTTGTCCAGAGCATTGTACAACTTAAGCATGATGTCTGGGGATCCGAACTCAATTGATGTGCAGTGCAGTCTCACCATGTTTGCCTTGTATATTGCTGCCTCACACTGTTTGGACATAGATGCAATGAATCAATAAACACCATTAGGTTGCCTTCAACTTACCCCTTAGTATGTTCTATCCTACCCATGCAATACATGTGTCTCCTATTCCTACTTCCTAAATGCAGAACCTTGCATTGTTCTGTATTGAGCTTTATTTGCCAATGATCATTCCAGGAGCATATTTTGTTTCACTTTGAAGATCTCGGCAGCCTCCTCTAATTCCTCAGTCTCCCCTCCCCCATCGTTGTGTTGCTTGTACTTGGACTTTGTACATCATTTACATATTCAAAGAACAGAAGGCATCCCAGCACAGACACCTGAAGCACCCAACTCTCCCTATTTTGACTACATTTCTCTTAAACCTGCCCTCTTTTCCTTTCAGTCATTACTAATCCACATCCATGTTTTACCCTTGATATCTACAACAACAACAAGAAGATTTCATTTATAGAGCGCCTTTCACGTCGGGAGGACGTCCCAAGGCACTGGACAGTTGGGTCGGGACCCGAGCAGGGGGGAAATGGTCAGGGTGAGGGGAGGGAAGGGAGGGAGCGAAGAGGGGGTAGAGAGAGATGGGAGCTGAAGGCACGGTCAAAGAGAAAGGTCTTGAGACCGGCCTTGAAGGAGGAAAGGGAGGAGGCGGCGAAGGCACTGGGGGATGAAGTTCCAGAGCCGAGGGGCTGAGAGGCTGAAGGCCCGGCCACCGATGGTAGGACGGTTAGGGCGGGGGATGTGGAACAGACCGGAGCCAGAGGAACGGAGGGTACGGGCAAATAAGTAGGGATAGTAGGTCGGAGAGGTAGGAGGGAGCGAGGCCGTGAATGGCCTTGTAGGTGAGGATGAGGATCTTGAATTCGATCCTCTGGGGGATGGGGAGCCAGTGGAGGCGAGCGAGGGTGGGAGTGATGTGGTCCCGAAGCCTGGTGCGGGACAGTACACGAGCTGCAGAGTTCTGAATGACCTGCAGCTTGTGGAGGGAGGTGGCGGGAAGGCCGGCGACGAGAGAGTTCCCATAGTCCAGCCTTGAGGTGATAAAGGCATGGACCAGTGTTTCAGCAGCGTGAGGGGTGAGGTAGTGACGTAGTCTGGTGATCTTCCGGAGGTGATGGAAGGCGGTTCCAGTTGTGGCGCGGATATGAGGAAGAAAGGACAGCTCAGGGTCAAACAGAACGCCGAGGTTCCTGATTGGCTTTGAGAGGTGGAGAGTGCAGCCTTGGATGCTGATGCTATCATCTACTAATGAGTTTGTAAAATAGTCACTTCACCTGCTGCATTGCTGAAAACCTTTTGGTATACGTATACCATGTTGCGCTGTCACCTCTTCAGGTTGGTCAGGTAATATCTACCATTTAATTGAAGCCATGTTGACTGTAATTTACTTGATTATGCTTATACCTAATTTTCCATGTTGCCTCCAGTGATTGATTCCACTTTTTTTTAACTTGAAGTCAGGCAAATTGCATTGCTGGGTATGGCTTTATTCACTTTTTTGACAATGGGAATTACATTTGCTTGATCAAACTCTGGAGCCTATTCAGAACCTCTGCCTTCCTAATGTCAAACTCCCACAGTTTACCAATGTGTTAAGTATCCTCCCGGCTAT